ATAGGATAATTGAGATACTTATAAAACCAAAATTAGTCGGTTGTTACACCAACATTTTTTATTTTCTATCAACTGTAATCGCTGTTTCACTCACGTGGTGACGTGTAGAATTTCGACAGGATTGGTGTTCCTTTCGGTCGTCTTATTTTTCCCCGAACCGGATACCTTTTCGTTCGACGTAGGAATTCAGCGAGAGAACGGTCGAAAGTTTTCTGGATCGTGGTCCCAGCTTCGCGCGGTTCAATTTTCATCCTTTGACGATAGCTGAAAGTCAGGAAGCATCGAGCATCGAGTCGCTGCAGCCACCGAACGACCGCTTTGTCTCGTTCTACTTTTCAACGGGCACTGTCGTTCCCCGTCGACTTTCTCTCCACCGATTCCCTTTCCCGTTTCCCGATCCCTTTGTGCTGGCTAGATCGAGCGGACCGCTTTCTTCCTTTAGCCGCGTGGCACGTCGTCGCTGGGTTCTAATCTTCTCCGTGCGCTCGCTCCGTCGCCTCTCCGTCGGAGAGTTTGCGGATACTTTCAAAGCAAATTCGTTGGCCGCAATTGCAGATAAAATTGCGGCTTTCAGATGGGCCGCCCGAAGAATCCTGAGTCGTATTTCTGCGGGCACATTGTCGCGATATTCGTGTCTCGCTTACTCCGGTGAAATTCGATGAAATTGCATTACAACGGTGAAAAATACTTTCCCTGTCCTTCACGCGATTCACAGAAATTGCGAGAAAGATATGGCACCCCCATTGATCGTTTACATACGCCAATGGAATAGTGAACTCGATAGATGTATAGCGACATGATAAATTGGCTAGCTACCTATGATTTGATCAGCAGAGAGGCATGCAAGATGATTAGTCAGTTTCTATATATACATATGTAGATTTACGATACCATGTGACACACTTTTTCTAACGTACAAAATTTCAGCACTGAAGGAATCCTCATGAAGCATATTCTACCCTGTATATTGTATACAGGGTGTCCCAAAAGTCGGGGAGGAGCCGGAAATGGGGGGTAGCTGAGACGATTCTGAACAACAATTTCCTTTGCAAAAATGTCGGATGGGGCTTCGTTAAGGAGATATTAAGCGAAAACCCCGACCAATCAGAGCGCGCGTAGATCGTTGGAGACCTAGCGCGTAGCCTTCGCTACCGCGGCCGCTCCAACGGTCTACGCGCGCTCTGATTGGTCGGGGTTTTCGCTTAATATCTCCTTAACGAAGCCCCATCCGACATTTTTGCAAAGGAAATTGTTGTTCAGAATCGTCTCAGCTACCCCCCATTTCCCGCTCCTTCCCGAGTTTTGGGACACCCTGTATATGTATATAGAATATGATTCATCAGGACTCCCTCGATACTGAAATTCTATGCGTTACAAAAACCGTGCTACATGGTATTGTAAATCTATATATATGTTACGGTGAATGTGATAAATGCGGTGATTATGCATAATCCCCACTAAAGTTGGTAAATGTGATAAATTATGGAACATTTATCAAATTGACCGGCGATTTTATATAATCCCCAACTCGTGATGGGCAATGTGACAAAATTGTTAATTGTTAATAATTTTTTGTTGGACACTATCACGCGAGAGGCTGCGAATAACAATATTTTATAATTTAGAACTAAAAATACAATTAATGATTATTTTCAGTCACGTAGATGTAGCATAAACATTTATTCTCATCGTCTAGTATTCGTGCATCGATAATTAGGTATTCTCGTTTAGAGAGACTCATGGATAGCAAAAAACAGGAAACGCAAAAAAGTGGAACGCGAAGCGACAGGCCATCCTGCTGTAGGATCGGAGCGTGTACAAATGCGGAACATTCTCTTCAGGTATTGTTGCAGTGACCAATGAGAGTTAAACCTAATTACACATGTAGTGAATTGTAAACCATTGTTCGAAACGAAGAATTTGCGTGCAGTTAGTCCAGATATACTTCATAAATGCGAATTTTTCACAGAAGCTGTAGATTAATCCATTTACATTGAGGCTAAAAAGAAAATTCTTTTAAACCCTACAAGTCTAACTAGCCGAGGTCATTTCAGTTTCGATCAGATTACATTACTTTGATAACGATCTTCATCTCTACTAAGTTTCATTCGGAAACTCGAGTTACAATTTGCGTACTTCCTTCATAAGAGCATGTTATTATTCGTTAAAAACCCAGCTTTTCTCATATTCAATCTTTTTTTCCGTTTCCATAAATTTTTAAGAAAATGAAATAATAAGTAAGTATTTCATTCACAGCTTCAAGGGTAGTTTTCACCCCTGAACCATGGACATCAATCGATATTAAAAACATACATGTCTAGTGTGCTTTAATGCTCTATCTGTTCGTTTCAATCGTTTCGTTGAAATCGACATTTTACAGTTTGGCGGCGTTCCTTGTCGGACAAGATTGATAATACGTGTGGGTGCAGGTGTCGCCGTTATACGATAACCAAATTGTCTAGCCAACTTGTCAGATCTGCGCGACACGTTTTCCAAAATTCACCATTGGTTCCCGTCAGTTCGGCATATTTTAACGCAACCTTTACATTTTGTCGACAACGTGTTCCAATGTAGCCGGAAAACAGGGAAACGGACGGTCTCGTATTATTTTGGAAATGTATTACCCTGCCAGTGACCCCGACGATTGGAATCGGAGCCCGAACATTTCGGTTAGCCAGAAATCCCCGTCGTGCTACTAGCAACAGAAATTATTCGCGTTCTGTTGAACAAACGGGCCCGCATACCAGCCAAACATTTCGTTCCGAACGTGACGTTGCGCGAAACGCTTGATATCCGTCGCATATTCTTCGATCACTTTGACGTTTTCGAAGTTCCCCTTCAGTTCTACAGCTTATTGGAGTTGTCAGCAAAAGTTCGTTCGTTTCTTGTCAAAGACCAAACACTGATTCGACGTTTCTCAACGATCCATGTTAGAAAATTGTAATTTTGGCACTCATCGATTCCAAAAAACGGGTTCTAAATAGCTCTTCTTAAATGATGAATGGAGTAAGCTTGCAGAATTCTAACTACGGGGGTGGTTTAGAAACTCTTGGGCCTCGATGACGGATGTTAACGTTATAGACGATAATTTTTTTTCTACATTTACTATGTCCTTCAAGAGTATCCATTTGAAATCGCGATACAATAGGTTAATTTTTGGAATTCCATAAACTAATTTTGTTTGCGTTATCCTTGAAAGTGGATAAAATTGAATCGTGCGGTTATTACAATCACAGGTGGATTGTAATTTCTTGCGTTGCACACCAAGTCACACATCTTGGGCAACAAATCAAAATTTTGTTTGTAGACTTTGTAGAGGTTATTTCCAAACATCATTCTTGCATTCACGTTCATGTCGTCCGTTACAAAAGTACGCTACCGCGAAAGAGTTATACGTCGAACGTTGAAAAACGGCACCTTTTATGACCGCGACGGTGTCCATTCTTTATTCGTCGTCCACTGGCTCCCCGACTGAGATACGTGAGTCGAAATCCAACGATATCTATACACGACTCGAACGAGGGAATTCCAGCCTCGCCGAAGCTTCTAGAGAATTTTATTTATCCGAATGCTGTGGCCATTTATCTCTGGCCTTGCGATCTTCCGCGACCGATAGCCTCTGGCCAGCTGACGCCCCAGAATCCAATTTTTTTTTAGGAGCAAACCGTGCATGAGTGCCCAACGTACCGTCCAATATGTATTTTTGATGACTCGAAATACGACGAGTTATCGAGGCTTGACTGGGTGCTCAGTGAATAAATGGCCCACCTCTTAAACGGAACAATTACCCGTTATACTTTATTACCTATTATTTACCTAGCATATTTGCGGTTTGTTAACAATTATTCAATTACGAAAGTGTAAAGTGAGAAAGAAATAAATAAAACAAAGATCTCAAAAACACTGTAATTACTGGGATAATGATGTTGATTTTCATTTTTTTGTCACAGTGTTGATAAATTTTGTATTAAAATTTGATATGCCTTTGGGTAGCTTTATATCGGCATATTATATTTCACGAACCTACGTGTTTTTACATAAGACAGAAACTGAAAGTTTAATACCGAAGAGGATCAACACTGAAAGCCAGAAACGTCAAAATATAATTCGTTTAACGTATGATTATCGTGGTATATTTTTGCAGTGGTGTTGCAGAAACGTTTTTACACAAGTATGCATATGATACGTATTAAATATTTTCCCTAAATGTAGTTCTCATTAAAATTAATTAGTTTTTGTCTAGTTACTTAATTAACCCTTTGACTGCTGGATTTTTCTGGAAACTCTAAGAACCGCAGAGGTGTGAATTTAAAAAAAATATCAGCTTATAGAGAATGATAAGATGGAACATTTTTTATATTCGCAGTTTATTTATAGAACGCTTAGTTTCAAAAATAAAAATTCAAAACTTAGAAGATCTTTTTTCTTTGAATACGATTACATTTGAAAATGAAAGCATCGTTAGTTGAATAATACGTATCTGTCGAAATTTTAAAAAGTATCACCTTATAGAGGATGCTAAGACGAAACTTTTTTGCATTTACAGTTTATTCATGCGACGTTTAGTTGCAGAGATAAAAATTGCAAACTTAAAAGACCTTTTTCCTGAAATTCAATTTTTGCAACGAACTTTCAACTTCTCAATTTTTATTTTCAAAACTAAGCGTTCTATGAATCAAACTGCAAATATAAAAGAGTTTCGTCTCATCATCCCCTATAAACTGATATTGTTTAAAAATTGATTTAACGAACACAAACATCTTTCTGATCCCATTTGTCGAGGGCGTATATTTAATCCCTTCGTAGCCAAAGGGTTAATGCTAGCTCAGAGTATACCGTATGAGCGTTAAAGTACCTCCGACACGATAGATTTCCGAGTCTGTGATAATGAGGAATATTTTTAATTCCGAAGTGTAGAATATATCTGCTTTTCTGATTGGACTTTCCAATCCATCTTAATGTGAACGAAAATTGGTGACAACAGGGCAAAGGCGACTTACCCCGCTTCACGTCCCGCCACGTGTTCGTGATTTCGTCGAGTCTTCCTTGCTCGTTTGGTGTTCACCCATATAGTCTTCTCACATCGTTCTGATGTCTGACGTTCTTCGAACCTGAAACACAATTTGAATTACAAAATTCGCTACATGCGTGTGACAAAGTCATTGTAATCGTGCAGAGTTTACACTTTCGATGTTTCGAGCTGCCTGGCAAGAAACGTCGCTCAATTTCAACACGTCGATTTTGTTTAAACTTTACAGGTAGGACATTAAAAATATTAGACACGTGCATGTTTAATTGGTTTTTTTTTTTAGATTTAACGTAGCTTGTCTATTAGTCGAACAAGGATAGAAGATGGAATGAAGGAAAGAAGATGCTAAATCTCCCGACTCCAAACTCCAATTCAAAGCTTAATATTACAATAAATGACCATGTATTGAGGTCGATGAATTTGTCTAATCAACCCTTATCATAATATGCATAAAAATATATAAAGTTCTATATAAAAAAACCAAATTGTTTTTCAAATCTCCCCCATCACTTGAATCACAACAAAACTATTTACACTGTATAATTTGTACATTTGAACCAAATAATTTGTGGAAAGACATTGTTAAGATAGCTTCATTCCCTCCTGAGATATCTAACCATTCCTATTTAAACGAAACACTTTGTACATCACATTCAACATACATATGTATGTTATACTCTTTAGAAACATAACTGAGCAGTTATTTTGTTTACAACTTTTATGGTAGCTTTTATCATTTGTATCTAAGTATCAACCAAAAAAAAACCTTTTTACATGCTCTGCATGTCTGTAGTTTTTCGTAAAAATCAGCATGTCGCACACGATTGATGTTCCTTGCGTGTCAAGAAAGCAGTGATAGTCAAAGCGGAATCGCGCGAAGTGCAGGTTTTTCCCCTACCTCTTTTCTCGTGGTAAATTTTATTTTATCATGTTACGCTGCTCCGAGAGATACACGTGCGAGATGGCGACAGGCTGCGCAATCTGACGACGTCGTTGATCGCACTTGCAACGAATGCACGAGACGTCTGACCTAGCTGCACATCCGGCACGCGAGCACATGCGTCAACTCGAGGCAAACAATCAGAGTTTCGTGCATGGAACATAAATCATGTTCGATTTTTCTTATTTACAATCGCATTTCTTCTACTCGAACCTCTTTAAGTCGTAACATTACTTGTATGCATTGTTCAACTTTTAAAACAAATTTCAATATCGTGACCTTTTAAATGCTTAATAAATACATTAATGACTTACATTCAGTAACAAAAATGTAGGATACCTTACCAATTTCTAAATTTGTATTCAATAAGTAACATGAACGAAATTTGTTATAGATTTTACTTTGTTTTTGTTTGTAAGTTCCAGTTGCTTAAATTATAAGATGTCGATATTCGACATAATTTATCTGAAAAAATGTAAATATTGAATAAAATTAGTGGAACAAAAAGGTAGAACATATGTTTAAACAATGGAATGTACTAAATTAAGTTACACAGTTCTGTTTAATAATTTGTATTTCGAATGGGTTCGTTATTCTGTATTATGGAAATTTTCAGTCTCATTAATGATGTATATATAATTTTGAAATCACTTTATGACGTAATTGTTGCCACTTTTTCTCGTTGCATCGTTTTAATTAATCAATAATTGGAAACTGTGAACCAGTAGGGTATACAGCTCTCGCAAGGTTTCCCTAGCAATTTTTAATAATAAGATCTTTAAGATCTTTATTATGTAAAATGTTCTTAGTATTTTTGCTGTGTGAATGGAGTACTGTTTTGCAGGAATATAAATTTCTTTTTGGAAATTTTTGTTGCATGTTTGTTTATTCAATCAAGGAAAAACTGGAGAATTGATTTTGTAGGTATATTCCATGTTTCAGACATAAGTATGTTTTATTTTTTGTTCCACTAATTTTCTTCAATATTTACAATTTTTAGATAAAATCATATAACGACATCTCTATTTAAGCAACTGTAACTTGTGCAGAAAAACAATATAAAATGTTATTTATATAACAAATTTCGTTTATGGTACTTATTAAATAAAAATCTAGAAATTAATAAGGTGTCCTATCATTTTGTTCTTTATTGCATCTCATACGGATAGTAAAATTACTTGACAGATAAATAATAAAATAAGTATAACACTATCATTGGTCTACGTTCATTTACATATGCTTTCGTTTAAAGCGAAAAGGATTAATGAGTTTTACTTAACATCGACACATAATGCGTTCTAATTTATATATTGACCAACATCGAATAAAAAATTTGTTACTTCAATTCCTATCGTTTATTTCGACTGCAATCTTGAATCCTGGCTCCTGACTGCCTCCACTCGTTCCGTTCCTGAATGCTAGGTATCTATATTTATGTCTCGCATAGCACAAGCTCGCAGGCTGCACACACCCGTGCATATGCGGGCACGTGCGTCTCGCCGCATGCACCGCAGAACACGCAGGAGCAAACAAGAGGAGCAAGCATGTGCGGCTTACGCGAAATGTCTGTTGCAAACTGGAATCGTAAACCATGGTGGAGTTGTAACCCTTATCTCCCGTTCATTAAATCATATTGTATCGTTTCAGTTCGTTTCATCCGCGAACTCTGATACGCATCGAGTATCCTAGCACGTTGATTGAAGTTTGAATTCTCACGACGCACAATTCAATCTAGATTCGGGGAATATCATGTTTTCGCCGAATATTTATCCACTTCCAATAATCAATTGAAACATTTGGCTTCATTGGTCGAATTTCAAAGAATCTAAATTTTTGTTTTTATACGTGTATTGGCACCATGAAATATAAAACATGATTCGTTTATGAAAGTTTGAGAACAGATCAAAAATAACTAAAATAAATAAAAATGTTTATACGTATTTGATTAATTTCATTTATCATAGAAGACTGGTATCTCGTTTTTGAAAAATACTCACTACAATTATCGAAATGTACACGTATATGGATGCTTTATTTGACTCTTCGCGTGTCATTTAATGTATTAAACCAGCATGAAACGATCCTTTAAGTAAAGAAATTTTATTCGACATTACCTACCGAAGACATCGGTGTAATTTGTGTGCTGTCGTGTCGAAGCGAATGGGAAACCCCGAAGTGCGCTGTAAGCGTCCAGGAATAGTGCTCTGGAACGAAATTGGTCGTAAATTCCATGACGAAGAATCTTTTATCTCTTAATGTTTTCCCTTCCCCATTCCTCGTTGCGCCTGGAATCGCTTACAAGATAAGGGATGCTCGGCCCACTTCTTAATCTCCACTTTTTCACCTCATTCTGCCACGCTTTTGGCTGATTCTTTTATTACGTCTTACATTTGGGAGCCGAGCATAATTCTTATTGAGCAACGACACGTTAAAAGAAGGCTAGTAAATGTGCAGATTCTGTAGAGATAAAAAAGCAAACAGTACCATCGGGAAGCTAATAGTAGTACAATAATAGTTCGCTTATAATTAGTATTTCATAGTATAGTTTAACTCATTTATATACAAGAACCATTAATTACATTCATTTTCCTTTAGAAAAGTTTGTGAAGATATATTTTAATTAATAGCCGATAGTGTAGGTTTAGTCGTTACAAAGTTATGTGTGAACATGATTAACTCATTCATAAGCAAATTCAAGAGGGGACATAAATTTAGGACTATGTTTTTTTAGTGATTCACATGAATTTTTTTAATATAAAAGGAATGTATATAATTAAATGAAACTTTCAGAACATTTTATACATATATTCAAGTAAATAGTGTAATTTTGTCGAAGTATTCGGAAAATATGAAAAGATATCAGCTACCACCCATCGGAGGTCGCCATCAAACGAAGCTGTTTGGCGTATATTCTGGAAGCCACAGTTTTCATCTGAAATCAATAGGGGTTTAAATTTACTTTAAAGACATGTCTTTCTTCTATAAGAACCTACATTCGGAGTAATGTCATTGTTTAAAGTATCTTTTTGTTGCAAAAAACGTTATACAAAAATGGCAACCAAGTATTTCTCTTTTGTTTAAACATCTCTAAAAGTGCAATATTCAATTTTTTAGGTGGTGCGGGGGAGGGGTTCATATAGAAGAAATACATATCTTTAATACATGTCTGTGCCCCCCAGAATGTACGCAAAATAGCTACGTTTGATGTTGACCTTCAATAGGTGGCTGATATCTTCCACATTTTCCGAGGAAATAATTCCAAAAAATTACAATATTTTCTTGAATATATGTATGAAATGTTCTCAAAGTTTCATTAAATTATATACATACCTTTCTTGTTAAAAAGAATTCTTACAAATCAGTAAAAAGATGTAGCCCTAAACCAATTTCCCCCCTAAAACGTTTTGCCAAGATTTAATACAGATGTGTAATCTAGGTTATTATTTTGATAATAAAAAGTGCACCTTTTTTTGCAATAATTTGTGACTAAAAGGCTATATAAACTATATATATATAAACTTATGCCGTGAGTAATTGCAATAAATTTGAACTACGAGACATCTCGTTTTGCAAAGACGGTTAAAAATAAACGTAGTTCGACACTTTTCAGTATATTTCCTACAATATTAATGACATTTACATCATTATTATTCATTTTTTTTTCCTAACTTGTTTTCACTAGGTTACCAAACTGAAAATACTGCTAATATTTCGCTTCCTTTTCAAAATATTATTTCATTCAAACTACGTAGCATCTATTGTTTAAAATATTTTGTTTCCAAATTTTACGCAGTCTGTTGCAGAGAAGGAGCGGAATGATCAACGGAATATTTCACTTTGTTATCATTATTTATCTCTCAATTCGCTGGCGTTATACAAAGACCAAGCTGCAGATGCTCCCGGCTATAGATAATGGCGTCAGCTATCCGCAGATCCGTTAATTCGGTATAGCAGCTTAGGAACTTCTTGTTGGAGCGAAGTTTCAGTTATCGCTCGAGTGGTCACCGGTTGGTTGTAGTCAGCCGCACCGGTAATTGGTGTCTGAAAGCTGTTTTCAGACGGAAACCAATCGTCCTCGTAGACGAAAAGTTTTACGTCTACTCCCTCTCTACAGTTTCCTTCGCTTGTCCAAGCCACGACTC